TAAAATAATTCTTAAAATTTTTTGATTAACATGCCACGAATATCTAAGATTTGAGAATAGAATATTAGACTTTGGTAATGCAAGGGTGGACTTTAGTACCCCTTACACTATATAAAAAAAATATTATGTAATTTAGATTATAATTTCTGATATTGATTATTAAAGATCATATCTAAGTCTTTATTAAAGTTTAACGTTGTTATTCTAGCTTCTTCTCTTGCTTAGAGATCTATGTGGCATTTCATTTTGTCTATTTTTAATAGTTTTAATTTAATTTTTTAATTTTTTAAATTTAAATTTTAAGTAAAAATTTTACATAGTATATAAATGATAATTGAAATTTTTTTTAATCAAATAAAAATAGTCGATGTGAACTACATATAGGGAACAAAAAATGAATGGAAAAAGTAATTATTAGTCCTTTTGATACACTCAATTTCAAAATCATATTTTGCAGAAAATAATTCTCATCTATTCAATTTTTATATTTAGGTGTTAAAAGTAATTTATTAAACATAAACCTTTTTACATGTGCATTGTTTTTTTTTTTTTTTTACTAATCTGCAAATATTCGGTAATCACATTAAATTCCGATTAATTCAGAATCGAGTTACGTTGGACTCCATTAAGGGAAAAACTCTCTCAATACCTGTTTTTACATTTCATAAGACTTGAATTTAAAATTTTATTTAAGGGAATCATCATCAGTACATATGCATTGTTTGTTCTTACCTTGAAATGCTTTTTTTTTTTAAATGGTTTCATATCTTAAAATATTTCAATAATAAGAAAAAACTAAACTTTTTTTTTCTTTTTATCTTGATTGCATAATAAGAGATAACCTTCTTTTGTCCTTTATCCCACTATGGGCTTGTTTGATGGAGCTTTTACTTTTTTAGTACTATTTATGAGTCATAAATTTAAATTTTTACTAAAAAGAAAATTTAACAATTGCTATTAAGAAGTGAATAAAAAGTGAATAAAAAGTGAGTAAAAAGTGAGTAAAAAAGAAGTTTATAAAAAGTAAAAGTTTGAAAATTTTCAAAATTTACTGTTTAAGATCTTTTTAAAGTTAAAAAAAAATTAAAAAATGTAAGTTTTTAAGAGAAAAATTTATACTTATAAAACATGAATAGTGTCAAAAAATTGAAACACCTACCAGCTCCACCAAACATGCTCTCTACTTACTTACATGTTATGTGACTCGAATTTATGATTTTTTATTTCGAGTAGAAGGAAATTATCACTAAATTACTTAAGTCATTAACTCGTATTTCCCTTCTTAATTGCAAATAATTCTTTATAATTATAATGATATCTTATTTCTAATTCTCTTAACGCTCCACTACTACATCTGCATACTTCTTCTTAGGAGTTATTTAGAACTACTTCTCAATGCTAATATGAAGAATTACATTTTAATTACAATGAGTTCTCTATCATCTTTGGGTAGTTGCACCCTGGAAAGGTTTTTTACAGTATTTTTTTATCCATTTTTATTAAATTGTTGACTTTTTTTCCCTCCCTTAATAACTTCTGCAAGGAATGTTCAAGTTTTTTAGTTAAATTTTGTATCAACTGCACAACATAATTACAATTTTTAAAAATTTTTGAATTTATTATTATTATTTTTTTATTTTAGTTACATAATAAGAAGCAAACATCTCTTATTCTTTATCTTATCCTACCTGTATGCCATACGACTAAAACTCAAAATCTCTTATTTTCAATGGAAAAAAATAACCACTAAAATATTTATATGGTTGATTTGAATTTATTATTTAGCCTCTATGTTTTCAATAAAGAATGATATCTTCTCACTAATATAGGTACGGTAGAGTGAGAATATGCTTTTTGTTTTTTGCCTTTTTCTACCGTTATCAATTTTTTTAGAGGCGCACCTATTCTAGAGCAAGAAAATATGAGTTAGTAGTATTTAAGATGTGTAGTAATTATTTTTTAAAATAAAGAAGATATAGAAATAAATATATTAAATTAAATATATTAAATGATTTTTTAAAATAAAAA